GAGCTGTAGCCATTCTGCTGATCGATGAAAACCAAAAAAATGCGTTCGATTGAGGAATCTGAAACAGAATACACGAGTTACTTGAATAAATAATGCACAATCCATGAACAAAGGCAACCCTGGCAGGCCCGGAGTGAAGAGAAGATGAAGCGAAGTGAAATAGAAGAATAGAAGAATTTCACTTGAATGTCATGTGTTTGAAGACATTTTATGACAATAAAACTAAGACAATAAATAAGTGCACAAAACGGATGGATTACCGGCAACCTCTCCGGTCGACTGCGAAAATTTGTGCAATTTTGATAAGAGCGAGAGACGTGAAAAGTGATCAAACCCGAAACATGGATTTTTTGAAAACGAAAAAAAAAAGAAGATATCGATTAGCCTATGGCAACCAAGAATACAGCTGCTGAGAAACTTCTTCAGCGCACAAAACGAACACAGTACGCTCGATCTGGAGAGCCGAATTTGTATGGATGCGCTAAGAAACATGCAGCTGCATAAAACTGGAAGCAACGAGCACTCGCTCCTTTGATCAGGCGGGAACTGAAGAACGGTAGTCTGAGTGCCAGTGGGTAGTGCCTAAAAAAGGCAGGGCCTGCAGAAATGCCGGACAGGACTGTTGCAATAATGGCATGCTGTGGTGGCGGCGCAGAACTTTGCTCGAGCATTAGATTAGTTGGCAAAAGAAACGAGCAGCTAAGGAGAGCAGAGTGTGGCAAATTTGATCACCAAAGAGGTCCAGGTTGCCTGAAAAGAGTACCAGGAATTGCAGCAAAAGGAGCGAAGAAATGCCAGCCAAATTTTTTTTCGGTGAGTTCATAACTCGGGAATTTGAGAAGTTAGAACGCTCTAGTCTCACAATGATGTTCCTCGCGCAAGTCGGTGTTGATGCACTGAAACCCATCGTAATAGCCGTGTACGGGAACGGCGTACTCCGACCTGAGCAAAACAGGGCAACTCGAGCGAAAGCTCGTTGATAAGGCGACCACACTTTGGAAGTGCACATGCCATTCAGTGCGATGAAGAAGAAAACATCGAAAAATGCAAACTGGTGGCGCGAGCGTGCAATTTTCAAAAGTTACTAGGCCGGCATTTGCCCGCCATAACGGGATCCCTCCGCGCATTTTGGGGTGGGGGG